TTAGGGGGAATAGGAGGCCAGGCACATATGAGCAAGGACCATCTGACTCAGGCTGGACAGACTAAAATGTACCAATGGAGAAGGTACATTCAGGTGGGCAAAAACAGGAGACTGAGCTGGCATGAAAGAACCACAACTTCCTAAACAACCCTAAGAAGGGAACACAGACATTTATTCTATGGATATCTCTAGTGACTGCAGGAAGCTAAGGCTGGACAGCTAGCAAACTTGGGAGAAATCTTTATCTCTAACTCTGCTTCAGCCCAACAGCAGCAACTGTTCAATACAGCCTAAGACGGGAAGTGAGTTAGTTTTAGATTTGCATTATTCACAGTTATTTGGTATGATTGCTGTAACTGAAAATTTATTTGTCAGCCTACAGAAACAAAATAACAACTTTCTAATCTGATTTGCACCTGTGGTGTTTGGGGTGGCCCGTGCCTTCTTCAGGCATGCCCTAGAAGATCTATGCCTAAGAGAAGCAGAGTTTTGATTTCCTTACTATCCAGGGTAGCTCAGTAGCATCAAATATAGAGGTGAGATAGCTAAAATCAAAAGTACTTCAGCCATAAAAAACCTGCAGGAGTTCTACCTACCTCAGAGAGGTGGAGGATATAAGATGGAGTTGCTAACATTATTTGGACTGAAGGGTCATGGGATTGTTGCAGCACAATTAACAATAGCTAAGCTATGGTACAGCGTGGGTGTCCATTGACAGATAAATGAAGAAAACATGGTGCCAGGTACGGTGGAGCTAATCTGTTATTCCAACACTCTGGGAGACGCAGGCAGGAGGACCACATATTTGAGCACAGCCAGGGCAACTTAATGAGATCATGTCTCAAAACTGAAAAACTAAAATGTTGGGGGATGTAGTTCATTACAAAGGCCCTGGGTTTGGGTTCCATCCTCAGTAATCAAAGAAAAAAGCAGTATATACATAATGGAGTATTACTGAGCCATGAAGAACAAAATCATGCTATTTGTAAGAAGTGAAATAAGCCAGACTTAGAAAGTTAAATATTGGGTTTGGGGATTTGGCTCAGTGGTTCTGCCACTTGCCTTGCAAGTGCAAGGGACTGAGTTCGATCCCTGGTCCCAAAAGAAAAAAGTTAAATAACATGTTTTCTTTCATATGAGGAATCTGGGGGAGGAGGAATAGCATACCTGAAATTAGTAGAGAGATTAACAGAGAAGAGGAAAGTGATAGGAGGGGTGAAGGGGAGGTAAATAATCTAAGTATGTTACATGCACATATGACTGTGGCAAAATTAAACTCACTGCCCTGTATAATATGCATGCGCGCGCGCGCACACACACACACACACACACACACACACACACAAAGGCATGGGATTGAAAAAGACATAGTGTTAAGACCATGAAATCAGAAGCAAATAGCTAGCAACTCACTTCTAAAGGGCACCCTAAGACCTCAGTAGACACACAAGACTCAGACCAGAGCAGCAACCTGCAGCAGAAGCTCTCTGTCCCTCACCAAAAGTCACATATACACGCACACACACACACACCAGACAGCAAGAAGCAGGACAAGACACTGGGAATCAGAAGAGACTGGGACTGTTAGTTGACAAATTGAAAAAGCCCTTCTCTCCAGCCTCCCGCATCCCTCATTAACACCAAAATATGGGGAAATGAAGACTGAATATATTTGAGAAAATAAATGTTGTATTTTCTGAGCATACATCTGAGCATTCATTAAAATTACAACCCTACTACCACAGCTAAGATTGAATTAGTATTTTGGGTGGGGGAGTAAAAACAAAATTCACATTACTGAATTCTTGAGTTTACTATTGAGTAAAATCCCTGTCTTTTTAAAATATAAATTTGCAAATATTATAGGGATCTCACTGTTTCTCCTACTCAAGCTGTTTTTCAGTCAGAAATCAGTTCTCAAATTTGAGTAAGCAACAGAACATAGTGACTTTGTAAAATACTGAATGGGGAAAAAGATATTGTGCAACAAACTGTCATTTGTGGATATTCTAATATAGTATGCAATTGCTCAAATTTAAATGAAAAAAAGAATGCTTATTAACTCTTCATTACTTTTCTCTCATTGCAGAGACAAAATACCAGACACCCAAATTTAAAAGGGGAAAGACTTATTTTATTTAGCTCACAGTTTATAGACGCTTTAGTTCATAATCTGACAGCTCCAAGGCAGGGTGGTAGAGGGTCAGAAAATGGCAAAAGTAACAAGAGACCTTAACAGCATCTTTCTGCCCATTTTTTCCTTTTCAGAGAACTTAGTGTAGGGAGCGCTCACACCCTTAATGCTACCTAGTGCCCTTAGGCCTATCACTACCATGAATCAATCATACACTCTAGATTCAGCCACCTCCGAAAAGCAAGGCTTTGGGGGAACATCTAAACACAAGCCACAGCATTCCACCCTGGCCCCCCAAAGACTTATGTTTATCCCCTTATATACAAAAACATTTAGTCCATCTCTAAGAGCTGTCAAAGTCCAAGTTCAAAAATCTTCTCTGAGATTTAAGACAAACTGTTGGCTGTAAGCCCTTACACAAATGAACATTCAATGGAACAAGACAGACATTTTCATTCCAAAAATGGATACAAAAGAATGGGGAAAAAGAAAGACCAAACTACAGCAGGGCAAATATTAAATCCCACAGTTCCACTTCCAGCATCCCTGGCAATCTGTGGCAAACTGTAAATGCCAAATGGCTTGGGTGGCTCTGCCCTCATGGCACTGTAGATGGTTGTAGCTCCCGTGGCTTTTCTCTTGAGCTGGCTCTGCTCCCTCCTTGCAGTTTTCCTCAGATGCTCTTTCTGGTTTCTCATGGATACAAAAGAATGGGGAAAAAGAAAGACCAAACTACAGCAGGGCAAATATTAAATCCCACAGTTCCACTTCCAGCATCCCTGGCAATCTGTGGCAAACTGTAAATGCCAAATGGCTTGGGTGGCTCTGCCCTCATGGCACTGTAGATGGTTGTAGCTCCCGTGGCTTTTCTCTTGAGCTGGCTCTGCTCCCTCCTTGCAGTTTTCCTCAGATGCTCTTTCTGGTTTCTCATGGATACAAAAGAATGGGGAAAAAGAAAGACCAAACTACAGCAGGGCAAATATTAAATCCCACAGTTCCACTTCCAGCATCCCTGGCAATCTGTGGCAAACTGTAAATGCCAAATGGCTTGGGTGGCTCTGCCCTCATGGCACTGTAGATGGTTGTAGCTCCCGTGGCTTTTCTCTTGAGCTGGCTCTGCTCCCTCCTTGCAGTTTTCCTCAGATGCTCTTTCTGGTTTCTCCAAACTTCTGGGGTCCGCACTGCACCTCTGGCTTTATACGGCTTCACACATTGCCCTTTCAGGGGCCACTGCCTGGCCTCCGAGGCCTTCTGAAATCTGGGTGGAAGCCTTCCTGACACAACTCTTGCATTGTGCAGGCACTTAAAACAAGCACCACGTAAATGAGGCCAAGGTCTGCTGCCAGGTAGAGCAGTAGCCAGGCTTCCTTCTCTTTTGGCAGTAGGCGGTCAAGTGCCTGGATCACTGAGCACTCCAAACCCAGTCCTGAAGAACAACATCCCTAGGCTGCCACTGTTCTGGAACATGGTGCTCCGGGGCTCTCTTCTCAAAGCAAATTCTTTCACCTTTGCAACTCTGAGGCTGGAAAAGGTAGAGTCCTGCTGCTTCCCACGATGCCCTCAGACCATCTTTTCCCTTTTATTTCTTCTCAGCATCAAGATCTCTACAGTTCTATCTTTACAGTCCACAGCTTTATTGGAGCTTCCTTTCTGACCACACTCAAAATGTTTTAAGTCATTCTTCTGGACTTTTTGCTTGATTCTCATGTAGGCAAAGACTTTATGAACAAAAGCCCAATTACACAGGAAATATCACAAAGAATCACCTGGGATCTTATCTTCCAGCTTTTGCACAGAAAACAAAACAAAACCAACAAAAAAGCCCACCAACAGAGTGAAGAGACAAGCCAGTGTGGGAAAATATTTTTGTCAGCTGCTCCTCAGACAAGAAACTAATATCTAGAATATATAAATAACTAAAAAATCAAAACCACACAAATTTAAAGACCCAATCCAAAAATGGGCATCTGAGGGATGGAGATGTAGCTCAGTGGCACAGAGCCTGCCTGGTAAGCACAAGGTCCTGAGTTTGATCCCTGGTACCAGAAAACAAACAAACAAAAAAATGGGCATCTGAAATGAACAGACACTTCTCAGATGAAAAAGTACAAATGGCAAATAAATATATGAAAAAATGTCCAAAATCATTAGTTGAGAGATACAAATTAAAATAATGCTGAGTTTTCACCTCACTCGAGAAAGAATGTTTATTGTCAAAAAGTCAACCAATAACAAATGTTGGCAGGGCCCTAGGGAAAAAGGAATCCTCCATTGTTAGTGGAAGTGTAGACTATGCAACCATTGTGGAAATCAGTGTGGAGATTCCTCAAAAACGAAAGTAAAGGTTCTACTTGACCCAACTATTCCCTTCCTTAATATCTTCTTGAAAAAATTAAAAGTATCATACCATAGCAATATATACTTAGAGCATATTTATAGCATCAGTTTGCAATAGTTAAATCTTAGAAATAGCCTAAATGTCCATCAACTGATGAATAAAGATTTTTTTTTGTATATAATTGGGTACACTCTGCTATAAAGTAGGATAAGCTTGAGACATTTCCAGCTAAATGGATGCACCTTGAGTCCACACTCTTAAGTGAAATAAATCAGACACACATGTTTAAATACCACTTTATTTCTCTGGCATGAGAAATGAAAAGTAAAAATAAGGACCAAAATATATAATAGATATTGAGAAATGGGAAGAAAATATTCAACTGAGAAGGGAAAAAGGGAGGGGTGAGAAGGAAAAGGAGGGACAAGAAAAAAAATAGAAGGAATAAAATGGAAACAATGGTTTTGTAAATAGTGAAGGGAAGAGGGGTTGAAGGGAGGGGAGGGGAATGGGAAAAAAAGAAGCGAGACATATCATGTACAGGTACAAATTCCCGATGACAAATGAGATCACTATGTATATCTAAAATGTATTCCCAAAAATTCTAGGAAGCTAACTCCTATATACTTTATCAAATAATTATTTTAGTCATTATTTTCTTTCACTCCTTAGAGACTTCATAAAGCTCTACCAAACTCCTGACTTCCTCAAGTAGGATTTAAGACAAAGAAATGTGTGCTGAGCTTAAGCTTATAATTTCTTTTACTTTCACTTCAGTTTCTCTAGTGAATCTTATGCACTGTTCATGTTCCCACATACATTTGTATGTGTGGGGGGCAGGGGTTCAAACCCAGGGCCTTTGCATGCTAAGCACAAGATTCAATTATGTCCACAGCTCCCGTGTACAATTTTTTTAAAAAGATATTTTGAAATATTTATACACCCACTAGAATTTGCAAACATACCTCTCACCAGGCTCTGCAATGAAGCATCTGATATGATGGCACTATATTATCAATCAGTTCAGGAAATCCTGCATACTCTTAATGGCAACCAACTATTCCTGTAGTTAGGGCTTTAGTGAAAAGTTAATAGAAACAAACATGAGGAAAAATGTGAAAAGAGGCAAGAGGATGAGGGAATAAATACCTCCGTCAAAGAAATGGTGTAGCATGAAATGAAGAACCCTGTCTTAGAGACAGAAAACGTGCATTTGAACTGCAACACTGTTATAATGTATGTATGTGTACACATACGTATACACACAAAGATCCTGAGTCACTATGTATTTGTGGCTCATATTTAGAAGTTGTACAATGAACACTGAGGAACTAGCCACTAGTCTTTTCCAATGCCACCAATGTTGCAAATGGTGTTTTACTACCAAGAATCTACTTTATTATAATACCTAAAATCTCAGTACGAAGATGCTCTAGTACGACTTTCTTAAAAAACAGTTTATCAGAAGCTATGTGCATTTTTGACCCAACAATTCCTCTTTATAAATTTTGCACAAACACAAATAGGCAATGACACATTTTTTGAGGCTCTTATAGCAAAATACTTGTAATTGTGAAAAGGCACCGAGGATACACTTATGTAGTGTGTTACTCTTGTTTTAATAACTGTTAAATAGTATAGACACAAAAAGGCATTCCTAATATACTGTTGAATGCAGAAACATTACCTTACAGAATACATAGTATATCTCAGATTTTCATGTAGTATGCATATGTGCATATATGTGTGTACTTCTTTAAGTATATACAAGGTACTGGGATGAGCAATGCAATGCACAAATAGCAATATATATATATATATATATACATACACATATATGTATTTTATACAATAATGGTCACCTCTAGATCACAATGTACAGGCTGGGGGTAGGGATAGGAGTATTGCTTTCTTTCTGTAAATTATAAAATATTCAGCATAAAAGCCAAAGAATTAAAAATGAAGTTATTAGACATGTTTAAAAATTTGTAAATATCTGAATAAGCAGTGTCATCCTAATAGTACTAAGTGAAAAGTTCATTTTTGCACTGATTTGAGCTGCTGCTTTTTTTGTACTTTAATATGCCACCTGAGACTACTGCTGCAATTTTTCTGCTCCACTGGACTGCCTATTATATACTGACACCAAACTTTTAATTCATTCAGCAATTTACCAATGTCTTTTTGTCCATACCTTAATAATGCATAGAACTGCAGTTATAAATGTAATTGTAATCACTGTTTTTTATAAAACTATTATAAGATCCTTGAAACTTTAGCATTGCCTACTTGCATATGTAATATGAAATTGTTGGGACAAAGTGTACATTTTAAATTCTAACAGCTGATGTGAAAGAAGAATTAAAATTATGTTTTAATGTCTGGCACGGCTCGTCCCTTCTCATTCATTTGTTTTCATGGATATTCTTTCTCTCAAATGAAGACAAACATATTTATTGGGATGGCATTAAATTTACAAACTGACCTAAGGAGAAAATCATGTTTTGAATAGAGTATATATTTTCATTTGTTTAAGCCTATTTTTCTTTGAAGAGTTTTATTCTTTTAAAAAAACATCATCTCATATAAACTTTAGACATGTCTTAGTAAGTTTATACTTTATTTTTTTACAATCACAAAGGGGTCTTCTCTTGAAGTGTATCCTTTAACTACTTTAGGTTTGTATACATATAGAAAGCCTTTTAATTTTTACTAAATATTTTTATTGAAGTGTATGTAATTATAGAAGAGTACACAAATCATAAGTGTACAGCTTGATATTCATAAAATGAATGCACCTAAGTAACCAGCACCTGAATCATGAAACAGAACATTACCAGCACCAGAGTCCCCTTATATTGTTTTCCAGAGCCAAAGAAGCTAGGTTAAAAAATAATGTATACAATATACACTTATGTAAAGTTCAAAAACAGGCAAAACCAATCAATGATGAATTAAGACATAATAGCACTTGCCTTTGGGAAGGGAGGAGGTGAACAAAAGAGGGTGATTTCTGACAGCATACACGAACTCTGCCTATGCAGTACTGTATTTCATCTAAACGGAATCAGAATATGTACTGTTATTTGGGAATGGCTACTGATTTGCATCAACTTTGTATTCAACTGATACTCTACTAAGTTCTTTTATAGTTTTTCAACAAATTCCTCTAGGTTTTCTAGATATACAGTCACATTTGCAGATAGTTTTACTTTTCTTAATTCCTGTCTCTGTTTTGTCTGATTTCCTTGGCTACAATTTTCAACACAATGTTAAATAGCAGAGGACACAGTAGGCCTATGTTGTTCCTGACTTAGTTGAAAGGTCTCTTAACGTTTCAATACTAAGATGCTGGTCTTTAGGCAGAGGTACAATGTTAATGAGTTAACTTTCTTCTTGAGTATATTTAACAAGAGTCAATTGCATCAAACGTCTTTTTTGCAAAGATAATCATTATACTATAAAACTCATAATATGAAGATCATCTAATCATTCTTGCATTTCTATAACCCAATTTAGTCAGGACTTATTACTTTTTGAAAGTGCTACTGGATTATTTGCTAATAAACCATTAAAACTTTCTGACTGGCCTATAAATTCTTTTGGTACAATCTTTGTTATGTTTTTCAATCAATGCTATTAAACTCATTTAAAAAAATGAATTTGGCTGGGTGTGGTGGTGCATGACTGTAATCCCAGCACTCGGGAGGCTGAGGCACGAGGATGGCTGTGAGTTTGACACCAGCCTGGGCTACATAGTGAGTTCCAAGGCAGTCACAACGATATAGTGAGACCCTGTCTCAAAAAACCAAACCAAACCAAACAAACAAACAAAAAAATGAATTTGGAAGTTCTTTGAGCAACAGTAGAATTTTTTTTGTTGTTTTTGATACAGGGTCTTGCTATGTAGTTCAGGCTGGACTCAAACTCACTCACAGTGATCCTTCTGCCTCAGCCTCCCAAGTGCTGAGATCACAGGTATGCACCATCACACCTGTCAGGATTATTTAATCATAAAAATTTGCTAGATTTACAACGTAGGTCTAATGCTTTTTTTGGGTAAGGGGTCTTTTTATATTCATTTTTTATATGGCAATTGGTTTGTTTTGTCTTTCTGTATACATTACATTTTGATAATTTCAATTTTTATTTGAAAAGTTAATGTAATTTATTGTATAAAATATCTCAAACTAGTCCATTCAAAAAAATTTCGTTTTATGGTTAGGTCTCTTGTCACTTAAGTGTTTCTAGTTGTGCTTCCTTCTGTTGATGCAGAAGTCAGCTGGTAGTCTATCTATCTCACTGAGCTCCCACCATGAGAACCCTACCAAAGAGCCAGCATCTGAATTTACTGGCTGTACAGTTTTGAGTTATTAATTCTTTTAGCTTTTATCTGGACTCATTCCTTCTGCTGTTTCTTATTTTTATTTTGGTTGTTGTAACTGCTTTTCTAAGTATTATTTTTACATATATCTTGTGGTCATGCCTCTCCAGTGTGTTTTGTCTGCCCATGGGGGTGCTGAGCTACTTTTCTTTTTAGACTAACTTTGAATGAGAACTGACTGCAATCCTACTCGTTTTTTCAAAATAAAGATGAATTTTTCTGTGCTTTTAGGATGAAGAGACACTCTCAGATGTCTTTTCTAGTTTCATGGATCTAGAGCTACCTTCTCTTTTTCACAGTGATTTATGATTACACGTCTACATTTATGTGTCTATTGGCCTTCCTTCCTAACATTTATATTGACTGTTTCTTTTTGTCCTGCTATACCCATCTTATCCAATGTGGATTCTATCTGTAGCAATTTCTCCCCAGTGCTTGGGTGTCTCATTAATTTCAAGAGGAATATAGTACAAGACCCAGACTGGTCTAGTATTTTGTCAGATCTTGTCGTATTGCTTAAACACTCAACTGAAAGTGGGATTTTAGAGCACTTCCCACTTTCATATCTATTCTTAGATTGGCCTAGTGTACTTTGTAGTGAGAAAGAGTGGACAATATAGTTTTACAATTTGTAAGCTTTACAAACCAGCTGCCTTTTTCCTACTTCCACACAGATGCAGAAACTCTATGGGCCATGGTATGTTCTTATTTGTATTTTGAGATTCATATTTTGTCATCTAGTTTTACAAACAGTGTTTGTGGCTGTCCTATTCTGTACTTTTGTACATAGATTAAAAACCTATACTGCTGCTATTATACTTACTGAATTTAAATTGTGTTGAGAACTCAATGGTCGAAAAGAGACTTTAAAATAACTTTATGAGGATTATGACAGAAAGTATAATGAGGAATTTGCTGTATTTTAGGTACTATGCTAAACGTTTAGGTACTATGCCATCTCACTCAATCTTCCATCAACCTGGTAAGTTGTTTTACTATTTTCCTAACAGGGAAACTGGGATCCAAGACTACACTGCTGAATTGGTAGCCATGGGATTTAAACCCAGGTGTGATTCCAAAGTACCTCCTTCTTCCCTGTCTATTCACTACTTTCAGGTCCAACAGTTATCAAACTATGTACCACCATCAGCACCATCTGACTTTAGATTACTTTTAATTATTTAAGAATGTCACAAAAACCAAATACATATTTATATGTCAAATCTAAAAACACTATAGGTGATAAATAGGTTAATAACAGCTTTTCCTATTCTAAAAAAAAATACTGCAAGGTGGGAAGGGGAGAAGTTAGAGTAGGGAATAGTTATTTCACATTTTGAATTTTTTTCCTGCTGTGTCACTACTGCTAAAGAATAGAGTATATATATGGGACATTACTAATAATTTATTAATAAATATTTTTCTTCTAAATAACTTGGAAAAAAAGAGTAGTTTTTTCCACAATTCATAATGGCCTAATACTTTTTGGTAAATGTTTCTGTTGAAAAATGAACATTCACTGGTCCATAAAGTTCTCCAAGGAACTCTGTGTCCCAAGTACATCAATTATTCTAATTCTATCATTAATATTCTTCTACTATTAAATTACTCGAGTTAGAAAATATTTATGAATTACTTCTGAGCTCAAATTCTTTTCTGTCATTCATATACATAGTTACTATTATTGTCTTATCTTTTAATCATGTATTGTAACTCTGGAAAAATAATGTGGGCTTTATAAACTCCTAAAGTCATTATACATATGCTGTTTTAACTCTCAATATCTAAAAGATGACTTAGTTTGAGATACAGCTATATTAACCATGGAAAGATAACGTTGTTAACTATACTTTTTCCCCATGTATGGAAGATTTACTTCTAATTTAAAAAAAATTTTTTTTGGTGGTGCTGGGGATTGAACCCAGGGTCTCATACATACTACTAGTTAAGGGCTCTATCTCTGAGTTTCACTCCTAGCCCTATTAACATTTTTTTAAATTAAAAATTAAAAAATACAGTTAACTTTGCAAACTCAGGTTTAAAATTAAGCATGCCAATAACAAGCATTTTACTAAGTACTTATAAGATTTTCCTTGGGAAGAATGATTATTTTGGGCTATTTTCTAATTTAGGAAGTAAACTTAAAACATCACAATACCTAGTGATATTAATAATTTATTTTTATATCGATATCTGTAAAATAATTCAACTTTAATTATTACCAAGACTAACTTAAACCCAGCTCCATTAGTGAGATTTCCTTATCACTTTCAGTACCAGACTAACACCTCTGAATGCCTCTATGTGATGGATGTGATTTACTGAGAAGTCGGTAATTACTAGTGAAGAGTTTTTATATCATCTCCTTTATGATTAGAGAGTTCATAGAATTAAGACAACAAATCAATAAACAAAGTGAAACCCTAGTTCTTACCCTCTTTGAAGAGTTGCATTTCCCTTCCACTGATCTGGAAATATTATAAAAATATAAACGACTATGTATGGAGCTGCAACATTGAATTAACTTGAGTGGTTCTGTTTTTGTATTTAAATGTTTTTACTTAATTTGAAAAATAATTACACAATTATTATAGGTTGAGTATCCCTTATTCAAAATCCTTAGGACTATTTCAGATTTTGGATTTTTTTCAATTTTTAGAATATCTGTTTATACCTTGTAGATGCGACCCAATGTCTAAATACAAATAAACTCATGTTTCATTCATTACTTATATAAACAGCTGAAGGATATTTTATAAACATATTTAGTTTGCCTGTATTTTGACATGTCACATGAGGTCAAAATTTTCCACTTGTAGTGCCAAAGTCTGAAGTGTTTTTTTTTTTTTTTGTACCAGGGACTGAACTCAGGACCTTGCGCTTGTGAGGCAGACATGGTGTGACACTGAGCTAAATCCCCAGCCCCCAAAGTCTGGATTTTGATCCTTTCAGATTTTGGATTTTTGTATTAGGGATGTTCAACTCAGTAGTTTGAAATCAGAGCAGCTGACACATTGGTGGCAACAAACTAAAAAGAAAAAATCCAAATGACTAAAAATAACTCAAGTTATAAAAGTACAATTTATAGTATCATAAATCTCAGAAAAATAAACAAAAACACTAAATGTCTTTCCCTTTAGATAATAAAAACTCATTTTTCCTATCTCCACAAAAGGCAACAGATTGAGATTAAAAAAAAAAAAAAATCAATGGGTATTCAGCCCATCAATGTCTACATAAGCATATACCCTAAAACTTTCTCATTCATAGTATCACATACAATTAAATCATCTCTCCCTAAATTACACAATAGTCTTCTTAAAACAATCTCTCTAAAAAAATTATCATATTAGTTAAGCCTTTTTATTCTTACTATGAAGTTATTACTTTCATTTATACAGGCCACACAAGTTTAATTGGCACACTTACGAATAAGACAAAATAAGCTATTCTTCTTTAAAAAAAATTATAGGATCATTTGTTTTCAAAGAATAATCCTACATAATCTATTAAAGCAAATTTTTACCAACAGCAGTCAAAATTTTGAAATGATCTTGAAGTTCTCACCTGAAGATTATCAATGCTATATGAAGTGTAAACTTGGTTTGAAGATTTGTATTCATTTTATGAGATACAATTTATACTGAAGAGTTTTTAAAAAAGATAACATTCATATATATATATATAT